CGCATGTTTTTCAGCCTCCACCTTACGAAAATCCACAAAGGCCAATTCACACCAGTCTTTCTCTTTCTCTCAATATTCTATCTCCATGTGTTACTTTGCACCCCTGGCCTGAATTGTACATTTTTTCCAGCAATGGTGTAAATTTTCTGAGCACTGCTGGAAGAATGAAAAGGACACAGTGGCTACCTACAATATATACCTCCATATATACCTTCTCACCACCATTACCAACAAATTGGATATACAAGCCTTGAGGAGAAGCAAAAGCTGGTTATCTATTGAGGCCAAAAATAAATTAACTTGTTTGTTCGCATTGCTAATTTTATTTACCTTCCCTCCCACTGTTATTAAAGAAATAGCTTGGGGGAGTATATTATATATATTTTATACTCTTGTGACAAGAACATTAAATAGGAATAATTGTGAGTTTATTCAAACACCTACAAAAAAAAGTTACTCACTGATGACTATAATGTGGGTACACACGACACAGTAGGGAACCTTAGCTCCAAAAAATGAACTATATCTTCCCATTTTCAGGACGCTTTACTTGATTAATTATTGTCGAAAGCCCACAGGCTGCAAATAGTCCTTTGTTTACCAAACAAAGTGAAGGATTAAAACTGTATTTTGTGTTAAATACTCAGAGGGTTTAGAAGCACTGCTTGAGGGGATTCAAGCAAATGTTAATCACAAATAGAGAATTATTCATTTATTCATCCTTTTAACCATTCCATGCTCAGATTTTTGTTTTTAATTTATTTAGTTTTACTTTGGCATAGGGGATATGTCAGGCAGATCTGAGAGGTCAAGGATGCCTTTGCCTGCAGGCCATTGGTTAATATTAAAGACCATCAGCCAATTGGAACTCATCAATAGGCCAAAGGTTATCATGGGGTTGCAGATGCACAAAGTTAATGTAATTAAAGATGCATCATGTTGTCGATTGCAGAGAAAGTGTCTTTTCCACTCTTTTCCTAATGTCTTTGTTGAGCTGTCTTTCTCTTTGTCGGCCTGTCGTGTTTGCTTATATGAGCGTTTTCTTAATGTCTTGTGCTTTTCAAGGATTTTCAAATCCTTAAAAAAGATACATTATTCTTACTTTTTATTTCATTGCTCTCTTTGTTTTGGTGCTCATCTGTAAGATGAGGGAACAGTTATGGAATTACAACAGCAGAAGTGAGATGCTTGATTAAAAATGAGTGAGGAAAGATTTTTCAAAGAGGATCTGCCAGTTCGGTTACTAATAGCATCTTGGGTTCCTGTTGCAGACGGCTTGTAACACATTACAATAAGAGGCTCCAGTGTACTGCCTATTTCATTCCATTTAGATGTTTGATGTCAGAAAGCCTTTAATCAATGGCTTGCCTTACTTGTATTGAGAATGGTTTTCACTTTTTTCCATTTTTGATATCATTCCAAGTCTGTCTTCAATGAGAAAAAAGGTCACTTTGGCAACTAACTGGATCCTCATAAAACAGGCAATTGGAAAGTTAGCCTGTCACAACTGGATTTTGCTGCTCACAATATTATTATGAACAAAATAATGTTTCCATCTATATTTATATTGCTAACTTTGCCCTTTATGGTAATTTACAGCTACTTTAGCCATCACAGATAATGCCTTTGGGATCAAGACTGTTTGAAGACTTAAGTGTTTGAAACTGTATGCAAACATGTCAGAACAGCAGATATTTCAATGGGAATATCAAGTATGTACTCTAGAGATACATGGCTTTCAGACAGTGATGACTTAGTGTTGGAGATCTTTTACAAGCTGCCAAACTGTTGTCAATAAAACAAAATAATACAACAATATAACTAATTCAGTTCATTTCAATTCAATTTTATTTGTATAGCGCCAATTCATAACAGAAGTTATCTCAGGACACTTTTCAAATAGAGCAGGTCTAGACCGAACTCTTTAAAACATTAATTACAGAGACCCAACAGTACCACCATCAGCAAGCACTTGGCGACAAGGGCAAGGAAAAACTGCCTGTTAAAAGGCAGAAACCTAGGACAGATCCTCCGGCTCTAGGTGGGTGGTCGTCTGTCTCGACCAGTTGGGGTGAGAGAGAGAGAGCGAGAGACAAACAGACAGACAGACAGACAGGTGCACAGCAACAACAGTATTGGCAATGGCAATCTAGCAGGACCATGGCAGGAGGCTCCACCAAGAACCTGCGAAACGAGAAAGCACAAGAACTCCGGGGAAGAAGTGAAGTTAGTAATATGCATTAATGGAACATGAATGAGTGCAGAAAGAAAGAGGAAGGGAGGAGCTCAGTGCACCATGGGAAATCCCCCGATAGTCTAGGCCTATAGCAGCATAACTAAGGGATGGTTCAGGACTCACCTGATCCAGCCCTAACTATAAGCTTTATCAAAGAGGAATGTCTTAAGCCTACTCTTGAATGTGGTGAGGGTGTCTGCCTCCCGAACCACAACTGGAAGCTGGTTCCACAGGAGAGGAGCTTGGTAACTGAAGGCTCTGGCTCCTGTTCTACTTTTAGAGACTATAGGAACCACAAGTAGCCCAGCATTCAGAGAACGTAGTGTTCTAGTGGGGTAATAGGGTACTATGAGCTCTTTAAGATATGAAGGGGCCTGACCATGAAGAGCTTTATAGGTGAGGAGGAGGTTTTTAAATTCTATTCTACATTTTACAGGGAGCCAATGCAGAGAAGCTAGTACAGGAAAGATGTGATCTATTTTTCTAGTTCCTGTCCGTACTCATGCTGCAGTGTTCTGAATTAATTGGAGCATTTGTATGGACTTATTGGGGCAACCTGATAATAAAGAGTTGCAGTAATCCAGCCTTGAAGTAACAAATGCATGGATTAGTTTTTCTGCATCTGTCTGTGATAGTATGTGTCTAATTTTTCTAATATTACGTAAATGAAAGAAGGCAGTCCTAGAGGTCTGCTTTATGTGGGAGTTAAATGATAAATCCTGATCAAAGATAACTCCAAGATTCCTGACAGTGGTGCTAGAGGCCAAGTTAATGCCATCTAGAGTAACTATATCTTTAGACAGTGAGTCTCTAAGGTTTTTGGGGCCAAGAACGAGAATTTTGTTTTTTTCTGAGTTTAACATCAGAAAATTGCAGGTCATCCAGGATTTTATGTCCTTAAGACATGTTTGTAATTTAGATAATTGATTAATTTCATCGGGCTTGATCGATAGATATAACTGTGTATCATCTGCATAACAGTGAAAGTTAATGGAGTGATTCCTAATAATGTTGCCTAAGGGAGCATATATAAAGTAAATAGTATTGGTCAAAGTACAGAACCTTGTGGAACTCCATGACTAACTGTAGTATTTATTGAAGATTCATCGTTAACATGTACAAACTGCGAGCGATCTGATAAGTATGACTTAAACCAGCTTAGTGCGGTTCCTTTAATGCCAATTTGATGCTCAAGTCTCTGTAAAAGAATATTATGGTCAATGGTGTCAAATGCAGCACTAAGATCTAATAATACAAGTACAGAGACAAGTCCATTGTCAGAAGCAATCAGAAGGTCATTATTAACTTTAACCAGAGCTGTCTCTGTGCTGTGATGAACTCTAAATCCTGATTGAAAATCCTCAAATAAACTATTGTTATGTAGAAAGTCACACAACTCTTTGGCGACTACTTTCTCCAGAATCTTAGAGAGGAAGGGGAGGTTAGAAATCGGTCTATAGTTGGCTAAAAACCCCTGGGTCAAGAGTGGGCTTTTTAAGAAGGGGTTTAATTACAGCTACTTTAAAGGACTGTGGTACATATCCTGATGATAAAGAAAGATTAATCATATCCAGTAAAGAAGTGCCAATTAAGGGAACAACTTCTTTAAGCAGCCTAGTTGGGATCGAGTCTAATAGACAGGTTGATGGCTTCGATGAAGAAATGATTGAAGTTAACTGATGAAGACCGATAGCAGAAAAACAGTCTAAATATATATCTAAGTTTACATTGGCAGAAGTCCCTGAACTTGGAGAGCCACTGATAACTGTTGATGGCAGTTGGTGATTAATTTTCTCTCTAATAGTAATAATTTTATTATTGAAGAAGCTCATGAAATCATTGCTACTTAAGTTTATGGGGATATGTGGCTCAATAGAGCTGTGACTCTCTGTCAGCCTGGCTACAGTGCTGAAGAGGAACCTAGGGTTATTCTTATTTTCTTCTATTAGTGCTGAGTAATAGGCTCCTCTGGCATTACGGAGGGCCTTTCTATAAGTTTTAAGATTATCTTGCCAATTTGAGCGATATTCTGATAATTTGGAAGAGCGCCATTTCCTTTCAGATTTCCTAGCTATTTGTTTTAACTAATCAATGCATCTGTTCCCACACTCTACTGGCCACGATTAATCCAATGATCCAACGGATCAATAATCAATAGCTATTGACTGGCAGCTGAGGTTGCTAATCAGGGTTTTGATTGGTTGAATGAGTCCATGGGGAAAGGCTTCACAAAGGCATGTAGCAACAGTGGGAAAGTGTCTGTGAATCGCAAACTTGAGATTTGTTTTAGATAATTCATCAAGTAGTAGTTGGAGGTTAATTAATGTTATCGATTATATATTTTGATGTTTTTGTCATTTTTATCATTTGTTGTCCCCAAGAGATTCCTCTGGAATAAAGAATATTGCTCTCCATGAAGCTCTGCTCCCTGGTTGAAAAATGAATAACCAACTCAACATACATAACAATTCCGTGAGCTGTTGGCACTAACAGATGGAACTGGTGTGAAACCAAATGCTTTAGATTGACTTCACGATAGTTCTCTCTGATGCTATTGTTTGTTTTAATGTTTTTTAAACTTGCATCCAGTCAGGTTCAAATGGTTACACTTGCTATTTCCCTGCAACACCAGATGTTACTCAGAAGTGAAGTGCCTTTCTCAAAGGGCACCTACACACATTGTTTTTAAACATGGATATTACAACGAGTAAATAACAGAAACTATGATATATGGCATAAAATGTTCTGTCTGTCTCTCTTGTAGGGTCCCAGGTGTAACCATAGCTACAGATATAATCTGTGGTTTTCCTGGAGAGACAGAAGAAGACTTCCAAGAGACAGTAGACTTGGTGAAACTCTACCGATTCCCAAGTCTCTTCATCAACCAGTTCTACCCCAGACCCGGTACACCTGCCGCAAAGATGCAGCAAGTACCAGCACATGTGGTGAGTGTGGACAGGGATATGTGATTTGGGCTTAATTTAGCTGCTCATGTCTGAAAGTGAGAGAGATGTGAGCACAATTCACTTTACCTTTACACACAGTCTACACAATACGGCATGTTTGCCAGCACAAGGTCTTTAACAGACAATAACTTTAATATTTTTAGTACGGGACTGTAAAGTATGTTTTGTGATCTCAAAAAACCTATTTGTGGCAAAGCCGAATATATATCCTGTCTCACAGACAATACAACACACTTGGCTACCAACTTCTGGATCTTTTTTTTCTGTCTAGTTTCCTTGCATCATCCAGTAAGATTCTTCTTTTTACATGCATGATGCAGAACAAAAACTAGTAAGTTAGGGATATCTTAAACTTAAAACCAGACAGAATATTTAAAGATTATATGAAATTACAAAATTACTGGAGTAATACATAGTTAGATGTGTGCTTACACTGTGTGTGTGTGTGTGTGTGTGTGTGTGTGTGTGTGTGTGTGTGTGTGTGTGTGCGTGTGCATATACTACACTGTAAGTGCACACACAAATGTGCACGTATGTGTATTGAGGGAACACAGGCCTGCCTCCTGTCATCTGAAAATGTAAAAGCCTGTTCCAGTTCTGTCATGACTTCTGTATGAATTTTAATTTGACTAATCCTGAAAGACGTGTGTGGGGAGAAGAGAGTGTGAAAGTTACTGTCCCTTTCAGACAGACAGACACACGCGGTACAGACAGTGTTAATGTGTTAATGTTTAAATCTTAAAGCCTGCATTTAAGTTAAACATTTGATGCTGGCAGTTAACTGGGACCAAAAAAATACTAATTTGTTTAAGTGAAGAACATCTGGTTGGCCCTTAATTGTGCAGAAGGCATCTGACTGTGACAGGATCTCAAATTTGTCAGTCAAGCCTTTGTTGGTGTTATAACTGCAAATAATTCATCAAATGAACAATTATAATTATTACAATTGGCACAGAGAGAGGTGAAATTGGTGAAATTCCGATTCAATCCCATTCCCAAAGACATTATAAAACACTTGTATCCAACACAATGCAACAGTTCCAACATTATTGAATCTTAACTACGGCACACATGCTACTTGTGCTTGTTTTCTTTGACTTTTTTTCTTTAGTTTGACCTCCTACAGTATTCTATACTGTATGTTCTATCATTTCTTGCATTTGCACTCTTGCACTCTTTACTATCAAAGTGTTGACACATTTCTTTCAAGTGTAGCGTCTTCATAAGTCATTCTCTTTTTCCTTCCTTACTCCTATCTCCCTTCATTCTCTGAGGAGAAGCTGAGTGTGTCTTAGAGGGATCAATCCCCAGACACACATCACTGCTTCTCCTCTTCTTATCTTTTTCCCCCTCTCCTTTCTTTCTCCTCCATCTGTCTTATCTGACTTTTATTGTCAGTGGTTGGATGTCAGCACATATCTATCCAAGACTCCAGGCAGCTCTTTGATTGTCAGACTGTGGCATATTGCTGGTTCCTGTTGAAACCTACTGTCAAATCAGCCTTTTATTTTATTATTTTATTTATTTATTTATTTTTACGTATGAAAGTGCACTGTAAATTATCTGAAATGTAGAGGCAACAAAGGGGGGGTGACTTGCTTCATTTAAACTGCCTTGAATGATCTGTGTTCACATTGTCATCCTGCATTTCTAATAGGCATTTTCACTGGTCAATTATATATATTCCAATGTTTTTTTGCATTTTTATGGACCAAGCCAGCGACCGCTGGAGGCCACTTTCGCCTATAATTTTTTTTTTTCTAGAGCGCAAAATGTCCATAAACTACTTTTTCGTGTCCCTCCTATGTGCTTTGTCCGATTCGCACAATTTTTTCCCGTAGCACCTGGGGACTGTCCTTATAAAAAAGTAATTCAAAGAATTTTGATTTTTCAAAAAATGAGCACGTAATAAAAGTTAGCACTTCCTGTGGATTTTTCGTCAAAAAAGGAAGTGGACCATTTCTCCACATCGGTATGTCCGATTGACACCAAGCTTGGGTCCATAATGCACAACTTCAGGCCATCGCCACTAGGTGGTGCTCTTTAAAATGAAGAAGTTTATATCTCCGCATTGGCACATGTGATTTAAATGAAACTTGGTACGATGCTTGCCCATGGCTCCCTGAGGCTCACCTAAAAAGGAAAAAAAAATACACCACTGGGTGGCGCTCTGGTGGCAGTGTAAATCACTGTGCGGAGACCGTAATAGTTATGAATATGAAGTTCACAGGGCACGTGTAGGCTCACATACCAAAAATCACGTTTGTCGTGTTTGTAGCGCCCCCTACAGGATAAAAAAGCAGCCCTGGTGCCATGTTTCACCGATATGTACGAAACTTTTAACGTTCCGGGACCTAAAAAAAGCCTCTTGGACCCATACCCCAAACCCCACCAAAGGCGGCCATTTTGATTTTGATTTTCACTTTCGGCGAACTCTTCGCCTTGTATTTGATCGAACTCCTCCTAGGGAATTCATCGGATCTACTTCAAAATTGGTCAGTACAGATAGGAAATGTTGCTGATTAAAAGTTGTGCTATTTGTGCATGTAAATTAAAAGGCCTGTCCGTGGCGTGGCATCAAAGTCAGCTATTTTGAATTTTTCTGTTACATTCTTTCATTTTTCGTGTTGTATTTGAATGAACTCCCCCTAGGGAATTCATCGGCTCTGCTTCAAAATTGGTCAGTACAGTTACAGTATAGTGCTGATTAAAAGTTGTGCTATTTGTACACGTACGTTGAAGGGCGTGTCCGTGGCGTGCCGTCAAATTTGGCCAGGTTGAACTGAATGTCAAACTGTGGTGCCATTTCTGGCACTTCGCACTTTTTTTTTTCGTTGTATTTGAACAAACTCCTACTAGGGAATTTATCGGATCAATTTCAAAATTGGTCATTGGTCAATACAGTAAAAAAAATACTGCTGATCAAAAGTTGTGCTATTTGTGACTGTAGTGACATAGTTGGGGATGTGTGACTTAGTGCTTGTAAAGTGAACTTAGAGTGAACCAACACCAAAATTACGTAGTATGAACAGGCGTACAGGGCACAGAGTGGCAATAACAGAGACGCCTTTAACCCTATCATAGGTCAGTGTGGCATCAAAATGAATAAATACAGCTGTTATTTTAAGGTAGACAAGTTACATAATGTTGCTTTAATTGGGAGCGTATTTGTGCCTGACAGAGAATAGTAAAGGGTGAGAGAGAGTTATAATAATATGTTAGGGTTCCTATAACCAGTACACCTGCTTCAGTGGCTAAAGCTGCACACAACATCACACCATCAGTCACCATGCACCTGTTCTTACACACATACACACACATACAGACACACACACAAACACAGCGAGTGGTGGCAGCTAGGCGACGTCTAGGCCATGTAGGGTCAGTCATTAATAAAGTGCACCAGATGGTTTGTCTGGAACACAACTGTGTTGAATAGCCACAGGAGGGATGGATGGAGATCTAGATGGAGTAGGAAGCGGAGACAGAAGGAGGCCTGAGAGAGAGGGAGCGGAGGTAAGGAAAGAGGGACGTTGGGAAGAAAGGCTGTGTGGTGAAGCTGGTGGTTTGTGCCTATAGTTTACATTAACCTTACAAATAAAGAACACTCTGCCTAAAAGCGAGGGCAGATATTTACCTTTTCTTATCAAGGTGGAGCAGATCTTACTCTGCGTGATTCAATGATTTTAGCATTCCTCAATTTACTATACCTTGCAGGACAGATATATCTAAGGTGGGTTTGGACTTAAAAGCAGGTATGATGAACTGGTTAATTGAACTGTCAGTACAGCCCATTCTCCAGAATACAAGCAGTCACACTCATTCACTTGTGTAAGAGAGTGTGTTTAGGGTAATGAGCAGGGATAGATAATGAGGACTGAAGGTGGTTTCTTTGAGAAAGGTTCCCAGATGCCTTTGATATCCTGGAAATGTATAGACTAGCTGTCTGATCCTGGAAAACACTGATTTGGACAAATGCAGAAAATTACCTTAAGTATGTAAACTATGGTTAGCAGAAAGAGTTACTGACAGTATGTAAAATAGACAAACAGCAGACTTCCTTAAGTCAGTTAGTTGTTTTTCCACATTTGGCCCTGTGTTATGTGAGCACCTAGTTGGCTGTTAGCTCTTCTAAAAAGGGTGTAAAAATGAGCCATGAAAATCTACTATATTAGTACTATTACTACTACTATATTGATGATGTTAGATTAAAAATGTGGTTTTGCTTTAGCAGTCTGATTTCCAGCCATGAGAAAAGCACATATTTGAATAGAAAAGTGATAGTAAGTCAGTGAGTGAAGCAAAGAAAACACATAGATCTGGATAGGATCCAGCTGTGATATGGTCCAGGTGTTTAGAGGTATCCGTAGGTCTAACTTATTACCTATTGTAATAGATGATATATGAGAATGCAAGATCGAGCGGAGAGCAGAGACAGATGGAAAGAATAGGAGACCACAGGGATGGAGGGATGGAGGGAGCATGTTGAGAATAAAGGGATGTGAATGCTATTAGCTTGGATCTCCATAATCATCCCCAGGTGACTAGAACTTAGCCTTGATAAATGGACTTGGTAAGTAGAGGTGTGTGTGTGTTTGGAGGTCTATTGGTATTCAAGGAAGAGTTGAGAATCAGCAGCTGCTGAAGAGAAAAAAGTGAGGAGATTAGCTATTCTAGTGGGACAGTGTTTTAATTTCCCTCGGTTGTAATTGGTTAGGAACTCCATTACCCACAAGACACTACTGCGGCAGCTGTCACAGTGAAACAGCTGGCCAGCCACTAGTAGCTTCATCTCCTAGCTTCACTATCATTTATCTACGCCTGAACATTACACAAACACTTGCATACACACAGACACATACATGCATGCATTTTTCCCCTCTCTGTTTCAAATGCAGACTCTCTCACAGACATATCAGGGGAGATACCACTTGACTAAAGGCAGTCTTACAGGTATTAAGGTGGAGTTAATGGTTAAG